TTTGGGTTTGCTGCTTTGGAGCGGGGTCCCCCCCTTGCAGAGGTGCAGCCCCTTCCGTGGCACCATCACCCAGACCTTTGGGTGACACCAGGGGTGCCCACCCCGTGGTGTTTTAAGGGGTCCCCGGTGTGGGTAGCACCAGGTGGTCTTTGGGCTGTGATGAGGGGCTGCCCTGGGAGCCAGGGAGGATCACAGTCTGCATGGAGTCCTCCAGCAAGCTCGAGGGGGAAAGAAACCAACCTTGGTGCCCACAAAAAAAATGCTTTGGGCGTCTCCGTGGGGGTTTCCTTCCCCACTTGGCTGCCCTTTAAACAGCTCCAGCTCATCGGGTTGGCTGCTGTGCTCTGGGTTATGAGAGATCGACCCATTGGTGGCTGTTCCTGCTAAAAAATGGTTCCATTTCCCACCCCAGCACTTTCCACCCTCCCCTTGCCCACAGCAGGGGACCAAGGGTGCCCATTTCTGCAGATCAGGGCCCAGGCAGGCAGGAGGGCTTGTCGGGCATCCAGCCCATCTGCTTCTTCTCTTGTCTCCCATCCTTCCCGTTCCTCCCATCAGGAGGGAGAGGAAGCAGCTCGGTCTCCCCCAGCCACCCAGTTTCCTCCACCGGTGGAAGAACAAAGGGAGGTTGGCAAGCGGTCAAGTGGCTCCCGATGGGCCAAGCCCTGCTGCCTGCCAGCCCTCCCGGCTCCCACTGCTCTGCCGCTGTTCCCAGCTCCCATCCCTGCCCTGGCGGAGCTGCTGGTGGGTCACAGGCTCCTGTCCCCACGCTTTGGGCAAAGGGCTGCCTGGTGCCTTGCTCCTGACAGACCCCCCAGCAGGGATCCGCTGTGCGTGGGGGCGGGTCTCTTTAATTTCCTTTATTATTTGTTGTTTGTTTGTTGTTTTGTTGTGGGTGGGTGGTGTTGGTTTTTTTCCTGTTATTATTATATCCTTTTGTCCTTTGTCCCTACCCCCCCAATTCCCTCTGCAGGCAGCTTCTACCCCGCACCCCCCTGCCTCAGCAGGCAGCAGAAATCAAACACCTTCAGGCCCTGACGCCCTGCTCGCTGCTGAAGGCAGCGCCCGGCAGCCTGCCCGGTGAGAGGCCAGCGCGGGGCCTGGCTCTGGGAAAACGTTAGGAACCTTTGATTCCCTGGCCCTGCTCGCTCAGCCTGCCGTGTGCCACGCTCCCAGGCTCCGTCCCCGCCTGCCCTTTGCTCCGGCACTGGGGAGATCCAGCCCCTTGGAGCTCTGTGATGGGTCTGTGGTGATGCAGCTCCTGCGCTGCTGGCTCATGGGTGTGCACTGACTTGGTTAAAATCTGTTTTGGGGAAAAAAAAACCCTACAAACAACCTGGTGATCCAAGGGTGGGGGAGCATGGTGAGCTGGCTGTTCTGCATCTGCCAGGGCCCAAGCTCCTGGTCTGTGGGGCCAGGCCCTGCTGAGAGCAGCCCTTTCGTCCTGGGGGTGAGGGATGGACAGACAGCTCAGGAGACATCATTTGCATGCACTGGGGTTGTGGAGGTGAAGGTGCATGGGGAGAGCTTTGGGAATTGGACCCTGTCCCCTTCCCTCAGTCCCAGATCCCCACTCTTTGCGGGAAGCCGTGCCTGCTGTCGGCGGGGGCTCCCAAACAGCCTTTGATGTGAAATCTGCTATAGAGGGTTGCTAAGGAAGTTAAATCAGGGATGAAAGTTCCCTGATGTGTTCAGGACTGCTCGCAGCAAGTGGCGTGGGGGCTGTGTAGGAGGGAGCTGATGGGGAGGGGGTTGGGGGCCAGCAGCTCTGAGCCCCCCCTGGTTCTGGCTGCAGGGGTGGGAGGTGGGACAGAGTGGGATGCTGCACTGGCATGGGTGGGGCTCTCCCAGTGCTGAGTATTCTGGTCCCCAGGAGCTATCTGGGAGTGAAGAGAGCTGGTAGAAGGGGGAATCTGCTGTCCAAGTGCATGGGGAGACCACAGCCACCCCACCGTGCTTTTGGAGGGCAAAGAAAGGCCTGTGGCTGTGCTGGGGAGCACCAGGATGGGAGCCAGTCCAACGTGGCCTTTCCAGAGCAGCAAAGCTTGGTGGGCTCAGAGCAGACAGATGGAAATATTGGGAGGGACGCTCGAGAAAAGCGGCTTTCTCAGGTAGGGTAGCACAGGGGGGTCTGCTGTCCCCCTCCAACAGCCATGCATCCCTGTGCAGGCTGGATGCAGCCCTGGCTCTTCCCACTGCCTGCCCAGCTCGTGCCCAGCTGCAGGTGGGATGGGTGACAGGAAGTGTTGATCCAGGCAGCTCTGGCCCTGGGGTAGAAAGTGTCTGGTGGAGGCAGGATTTCACCTCAGCTGGGCAGCCCTGTCCTGATCCAGGAGGTCAGAGCATGCCCTGGTCACTACCTTGGTATCCCAGACTTTTTGGGAAGGGTTTCCCATCCTGCCCCTTCCTCTGGCTGGAGCACAGGTGCCAGCCCTACTGTCCCAGCCTCTCCTCGGGAAGCTGGCTCCGTGCAGGAGCCCCTGGGCCAAGGATCAGGGATGGAGGGGGTGCGGGTGGGGCTCCCCACCCCACTGGCAAAACCCAAACCTGCAGGTTTCTCTCCAGGGCTGCCTCTGCCTGCTCCAGCACCGCTCTGCGCCGCCTCTGCCCGCCCAGGGGGCCTGGAGCCAAGTTGCACGTTGCAGCCGGCGTCTCCCGGCTGCTGCCTGCCAAGGCTGGCAGAGACCTGGCAGGGCCAGGCTGCCAGCTCCTCCCGAGCTGGGGCTGCTCTCCAGAGCCCCCCGCTCCACCCTGAGACTGCTGCAGCTCGGGCTGTAGGGATCCATGCTTTTCCTCCCTCCTGTTCCTCTGAGACCCCCTGGTGTCCACGTAACTCGGCCAAGACCCCCAGGGGATGTAAAATCTTTCACTAGGGATGAAGCTGGTGCAGGTGGGTCTCCATAACCTACCTCTGTGGGCTCTGCCCTCCGTGTGGCAAGGAGCAGGGAGCTCTGCCCAGGGCAAGCTGGGGTGTGCCAGGGGCTGGCTGCTGTTCCCGGGGCTCTGGTGGGGAAGCTGCATCTGCCAGAGGATGCTTTGCCTCTGTAATAGCTTTAAGATCTCATTATCTCCTTCCTCAGGGGTGGTAGGGATGAGGAAATGGTTGCTCATACTTGTCCAGGGCTGGAGAAATCTCCCAAGAGCCTTGTGGGCAGAAGAAGTGCCAGAGATGAGGATGTCTCCAAAGCATCAGCACCCCTTTGTTTTCCCCACTGGCATGGGGGTGGAATATGGCAGGGATGAGCTCCCATGTGCAACCTGCACCTTCCTGGGCTGGGGGCAGCCTGAGCAATCCATCCCCCATGGCTGCTGCCCCCCGCTCTGTCCGTTAATCCCTCTTTCCTGCAGCCAGGGTGCTGCCAGCTCCAGAATGCTTCCCGAGGCTGGATTTGGCCAGGTGAGCTCGGCGGTGGGGTCAGGCAGCTTGAGGGTCCCTCTCCATCCATGTCCCCTCTGCCCTTCTGCAGCCACCCCAGCTCGGTGCGATGCCCGCGGAGCTGAGCTCGGGGTCAGCTGGTGTCACAGCCGAGCGGCGCTGCCGGTGCCAGCCAGCGTGGCCTGCCCCGTGTCCCTGCTGCCAGCCACCCTGCCAGGCGGGAGGAAGGCCAGGGGACGGGAGCAGGGAGTGGTGCCAGACAGGGCTGGAAGCAGGTTCAGCGACAGATTTATCCTGGAAGGAGGAAATGAGACAAGTCCTGATTTACTGTTCCAAAGTCCAGGGCTGCGGCGTGACTGGCTGAGCTGATGCTCGAAAAGCCCTGGAAAGGGGATTTTTGCTTTCTGTGAAATTAAAAGAGCTCCCTGAGAGAAAGGTGGGCTGCTGGCCCCTGCCCTCAGCATATTCCTGCAGCCCAGAGGCTTTGCTGCTCATTATCCCTTCAAAGATGATGCATTTTCTCCCATTCCCTTCTTCCCTTTCAGCATCTCCCATCACTCTGGCTGCCCTCGTCCCATCTTTTGCACAGACGGATTTTCTCTTGCCCCTATGGGTGAAGGGAAACCACAGTGCCCCATGTGTTGCTGCATCAGGTTAATTTTTCAAGACCACAGAGGAAGTTTCCAGCCAGGAAAACAGGTTTTTGGGCTGTTTTGGGAAGTGAAGAACTGAGAATTGTTTGGAGGAGAGCTTAATATTGCCCTTGCTCTCCAGGGCACTGGCTGTGTTAATGTGGAGCTGGAGCTGCCTTATAGGAGCAGCAACTTTACCAGCCAGTGGAGTTGCTGCTCCTATAAGGCAGCTCCAGCTCTGAGATTCCCCAAGAAGGTCAGGCAGGGAGCAAGGGAGGGGAGGAAATTCCTCCTTGGCTCATTTGGACAGTTATATTTAGCCCTGGGGATATCAGCCTTGCTCAGCCCTCACCATGCAGCGTGTGCCAGGGGAGTGAGGGCTGCCCTGGGTACATGTGTACATGGCTTGGTGCTGCCCTCTCCCTTGTTGTCATTCTGGGGGACAGGAATGATTTGGCTGAAGACCAGTGGGATGCAGCTGGGCACGGGGAAGGCTGGAGGCTGGCAGCAGCTGAGATGGGACACTGGAGTCCCGACTCTGTTTTGGGTGCTCAAGTATGGAAGCTCACCCATGACCAGATGTGTTTTCTGGTGGGTTGGGAAGCAACAGGTCTGATCCTCCTGCCTGCAGAATGGCTGGTAGTGATGCTGTGAGGTGAGGAAAGGGGGGGATTTCATCCTTCCTCCATCTGCTCCCCTCATCTGTCCTCAGTTCCAGCCCAGAGGAGTGCTCTGTGGGTCAAAGCAGCCAAGAGCAATCCTGCCCTGCCCCAGGGCTGCTCCTTCTGGGCTGGATGATGCCCCCAGGGGTGCTGGTGAGGGTTTTCCCCTCCCCATGCAGGTGTTTCCCCGTGGGAAAAGAGGCAGAGCTGAAAAACATCTTTGACTCAGGGCCATGTGAGCCCTCCCAGGGGTGACTGTCACCTGCCTGGACTGCCAGGTCACAGCCTGGTTCACACCAACGTGCGTGGCTCTGTTCCTGTGTCACCATCACCTCCCTGTCTCTCTCCTCAGGTATGCTGGAGGATGGGAAGAAGTTTGATTCCTCCCGCGACAGGAACAAGCCGTTCAAGTTCGTGATGGGCAAGCAGGAGGTGATCCGTGGCTGGGAGGAAGGAGTTGCTCAGGTGCCTGGTTCTCCATCTCCCTGGCAGGGCTCTGCAGAGCCCAGGGAGCTGCAGTGTGGGCAGAAATCACTGCGTGCAGCTCATTCTCTGCTTTATTATTTATTTCTTTTAATTCCCCTGTGTTTTCCACCCCTCCGCCCCCTCGGCGCTGGGAGGTGTGGGTGTGAATATCACCTCCTGCATTGCCACCTGCCAGATGGCAGGAATGGAGCAGGGCCGGGTCCCAGGAACACCTACAGCACGTCGGTGACTCAGTGGTGACATTTCTGCACTGAGTCAGCTCTGAACGCAGGCGGTGGGAGCTCTTGGGCCTCCTGCTCCCAGCAGAGACGGCTTCTGGGCTGTGGAGCCCACGCAGAGGGAGGGCTGGTGGGCACGGGCTCAGCTCCTGCCTGCCTGCCACCAGCTCTCTGTGCTGCTGGGGATGTGGCACCAGCCTGCTGGTGGCTGGGGGAAATGGCCTGGCACTCCTGGCTGTCCTGGAAACAAGGAAGGGCATCACAAGCCCTGTTTCATAGAGTCATAGAATTGTTTTGGTTGGAAAAGACCTTTAAAATTAAATCCAACCATAAACTCAGCACTGCCAAGGCCACCACTGAACCATGTCCCCAAGCATCACAGCCACATAACTTTTAAATCCCTCCAGGGATGGGGACTCCACCACTTCCCTGGGCAGCCTATGTCAAGGCCTGACAACCCTTTTGCCCTCTTGCTGTTGTTCACCTGGTGTTTGTGCCCCTTCCTGACATCCCTGTGTTCTTTTCCTGCCCCCAGATGAGTGTTGGTCAGCGGGCAAAGATGACCATCTCTCCAGATTATGCCTATGGCCCTACTGGCCACCCAGGGATCATCCCACCAAATGCCACTCTAATTTTTGACGTGGAGCTCATGAAATTGGAATGACCTACCCCAGCACCCTGTCCTTGGGTAAGGAGGGGCAGCTGCTGGTGGGGAGTCTTGGGGGAGACTGAAGGCCCTCATCTTTTGCCTTGGACTTGTGTGGGGAGGTGGGATGTGGTGGTGGCAGTGGGGGGTTATGAGGATGAGGGAGCAGGTTTCTGGCTGTGGGTAGCAGTTGCTCTCAGGAGGGTGGTGAGCTGGGGGTTACTGTGGTGTGAAGAGTAGTTCCCAGCCTGGCAGAGCGGGTTCATGCCATGGAGGTGTTGTGGTGCCAGCTGAATGTGCCTTGGGTTCCTGCTGTTGCTGCGCTGTGGGACACAGCTGCTCACTTCCCCTCATGCCTCTTGCTGCCTGTGTGTGGGGCTGGCAGTGCAGGCAGGATGGGGCTGTCCTGGGGGGGGGGTCCAGCAGTGCAGGCAGGATGGGGCTGTGCTCAGGGCTCCAGCAGTGCAGGCAGGATGGGGCTGTGCTGGGGGCTCCAGCAGTGCAGGCAGGATGGGGCTGTGCTGGGGGCTCCAGCAGTGCAGCAGGATGGGGCTGTGCTCCCCCTCCATAACTGGGGCTTGACTTCACCATTGAGCGCTCAGGTGGTGTGTGGTGAGCAACACTGGTGAGCACACTCCCTTCTCTGCGGGGTCCCTGGGCAGGCAGTGGGTGGGCAGCTTTGTCACCCTGCCTCTCCTCTCTCCCAGCAGGTTTGGCACATGGAGGAACCCAGAATCTCAGCTTCAAGAAGAGTGCACATGACTTTGTACGGAGCTTTTCCTGATAGTCCACTACACTCATTGTATAACCTTACACCTTGATTGAATGCCTTTGGTCACTAAGCTTTGCGTCTGACTCTTCCTCCTTGTATCGTGTTTTTATGTCTTTTTAAACTATACGCCATAAACCTCAACTCTTTTTGGGTCAAGTTCTTGATCTTATTTTTTGTTCCAGGTGTAGATGACGTTTCACCGGTAGCTCGCGGGTGGGCTGACCTTAGCTAGGAGTCGTTTGAACAAAAGGAAACCTGGTAGTTACTCGTTTTGGTGCAGATCTCTAATGGTGTTTTTTCAAACCAGAAATTGCTGCTGCTGTAAAAGCCATAGCAGAGTGAGGCTGTCGAGGCTGGATGGATGCGGAGAGCAAAGTAGTGCTAGGATTGTGTCTAGGAACCCTGCCTGGAACTGGGGTGGTGAGGGAGCAGGGCAGCCTTGCCCTGTCCCCCGGGAAGGGCTCAGCATCACTGCCAGCACCGTGGGTTTGCTCCTGGGCAGGGGGGCTGCTCTGCCCCTGCTTCACCCTGCCAGCTCATGGTGAACCTTCCCTCCCTCCCCACCACAGCCCTCTTGGATTTATGGAAGTGGCTTTCCATCAGAGTTCCACCACACCCTGAATGTCCAGTAGCTTCTTTAAAGGAGAACAGCAGACAATGGAAGGTGCTGCCTACAAGGGGAGTGGTGGGGCTGGTGGGGTCAGCTCAAAGGAAGTGCCCCTGTCCCCTCTCTCCCCCTCTCTGGAAAGGAACCATCAGGCCCCAGTCGTGCCTGGTCTGAGCACACCTGACCGCTCTCTCCTGACACCTGATGCTGGTCATCACTGCTTGGCTGGTCTCACAGGCTGCGTTGCTTCCCCGCTGCTGTCCTCTGCCCCCTCCCCCTGCTAGTGATTTGGTAAGAGAAACTGCCCTTCACTTCCTCCTCCACCGCATAAAGGTATCAAGTTTTATTATTGCAATAAAAATGCTTTATGCTGGCTTTTCTCAACCCTGTGTCTTGGAGGTTTTTCTGCCTGTCTGTCGCTGGGATCACGGGGTGCTGTGGGTGCTGGGAAGCTGTGCTGGGCTCACGGGGTGCTGGGGTGCTGTGCTGGGATCATGGGGTGCTGGAGCAGCTGGAAGGAGTGGCCTCTGGCTGTGCTGGCTTGCTTTGGTG